GGGGGGGGGGTAGCCCTGGTGGACTCCCTTTCCTCCCTACGTTACGGAGGGAGTCCTGAGTACACATGTGCTCACAACCGAACGAAAACATTTCTGACCAATAATTTTAATATTTTTACCTTGTTGGAGAAGCTTATTTTTACGTCGTAGTATTCTATGTGTCCTTATCTGTTAGCACGCTGGGTTCAGGAATTCCATATGCGATGCTGACTGACGTCAATCAGGAAAATAAACTCGAAAGCAACGTTAAACTAGACTCTTTTCATCAGTTTCTCACCGCCGAGTCTATTCTAGTCGTACATGATGTACGTCTGTGCAGCGTGTAGTCTGGTTCCCTAGACCGGGCAATTATTCTCGACACTCATATCACGTCTGGTCCGGGGGCCAGACTATGCAGCATGAATATGCAGTGCGCACGCGCGATTTGCTTAGTAACCACCCTCATACGCACGCGCACTTACTTGAAGGCGCGGTCGCTAATCCAATGACCGAGCGTGTTTTCGCGCCAGTTACCAGAAACACGTTTCGGCTTTGGTCATTGGTTGAGCGTTTTTCGCGACATCGGTTGACTGGAGTGACGTAACGGTTCCAACCAAAACTAAACAAATGAGGGCGCTAGCGTGCGTACGCGCTTGCGTACGCACGTACATTGTACATGACGTACGACTCTGGAATAAACTGATGAAAAGAGACTACAAACACGTACAAGTTTAACGTTGCTTTGGAGTTTATTTTCCTGATTAACGTCAGTCAGCATCGCATATGGAATTCCTGAACCCAGTGGCCAATAGATAAGGATACATAGAGTATGTAGGCGTGAAATAAGCTTCTATAACGAGGTAAAACATAACAAAACTCTGGTAAATGTTGGGATGGTTTCATGTAGAAAAGTCTTGTCCTGGACGTTAGTCGTATTGCAATGAAGACTTCGTCCAACCTGGGCTAGGGGGGGGGGGGGGGGTGATGTATGCGCGCTGAAGCGCTCTAGGGGGCTGGTCATGAATGATGCAACGGATTCTTACTGATGATTACTGGCATTTATTGAATCACCGTGAAAACTGAAAGAAGATAGATACAGATATAGAGTTCAATGAGCACCAATTAATTAGAGAATTACAATGAAATCAATTGACTATATAAACAACCGCTCGTATGAAATGAATAAATGTGAGCGCATATACTCTCTTAACCAGTACGACGTGTCTGCGCTCTAACAAAATACTGAGATAGGCATTAATATAAAGTAGCTAATATAAAGTTATTGAAATAGCAAATGTCATACCGTTAACGCCTTCAGACCAGCTTTACTATGAGGCTGTGGTAATTCGGCAGGATACTCTCTGTGGCCCAAGCTGAATGAGAATACAAATAACAAAACTCTTAAATGTCCTAGATCTATAAATATTATAAAAGCAGAGGACTAAGAAATAATAAGAAATAACGTAAGGTGTATGGCTCATTTGTATAACATAACAGAAAAGAGCATTTTCTTACCTAAAGCAGTCGATTGGATGAAGAAATAAGTAGCTAGCGATTATGTAACACTCTTATGTAGGATTATGAAGTGAAAGTGAAAGTGAAAATAACGTACACGAACGCGCATCATATAGACGAATCCAAGCGCGGTTTACGAAAGGGCGCCCTCTTTCTTTCCCGCCATTACTGGGACGCATTTTGCATTATGCGTGTGACCGCTGACCTCTGATTATCGATCGGTATGGCGGGAGATATAAACGAAGTGCACAGTGGCAGACGATCAACAACAAAATTATGTATTTTAGACCTTAATGTTTTATTTAGTTTGTTGTTCTTTACCATATTGATGGTGTAATTGTTTTGCTTCAAGAAAATATGTCTAAGAATAAAAAAATCCTCCAAGACATGCCTAAAATTATTAATTTACGCGCACTGCCCGGCGGAATTTGTCCGTGTCCTAGCGCGCAATTCGTTCAGTCTTCGACGGGGCTTGCGTGGCGTCAGCCCCCCGTGCAGTCAACTGCATTCACGGTGCGAATATTTGGGTGTCATGACATGGTGCAGCCGTGTACAGCTGATTTATTTATTGCCAGGATTAGGTTTTGTATCTGAATAGCTACCAGCATTACAACTGCACACAGGTGAGTTTCGCTTCTGACATGTCTGACAATGACGCGAAGAAAGGCTTAGAAAAAGAGAACTTGAACAAGCTGAAGTCGAAGTTGCAAATTTTCTGGGTAGGCCTAGCCCTATAGCCTGACGTTTTACATTATCATGCATGATTAGTACTAGCAATACTTCATGTATTTTTAGCAATTCATGTAAGCCTTGTAACAGGCCTAGATTTTCTCATAAGTCCTGTGCAATCCCTTCCCAAGTTTAAAAATAATTGTGCACAATGTAATTTTCCAAATTATCATTATAAATCAATAAGCCATGGAATGCCAACCAAAATGGTCATGATCAGCAATATTGTTTTTGTTCATCTTATAACAGGCCTAGCGTTTTTCCAAATACATGTAATTCATGGAGTGGACTGATGATGTACGTCAGTGGCCTAGGCTAGAATTTCAAGGTAATTTAAAAAGAAGGCATGGTCATTTACAGATTACAATTTACAGATAACTTTATTTTCAGTAGGTTTAGAAAACTATGCACAATCATATTTGCAATAGAATTATGAATTATCTTTTGCAATTACTAGTCTGTCTATGGTCAGTTGCAGGATTTTTTTTTGAAGTTGCTATTTTTTTAATTTTGTGATATGGATGAGGCTGCATATGTGTACATTTTAGTAAATTTAATTATTCTTTCAAATCTTAATAAATATGTATTACATTTTTACATGAAATATACATAAATTTTAATTCAATTCATCTATTATCTCAAATAGTCTTCATAAATAATTATTACGTTTTTACATGAAAGACATGTGCGCTGTAAGTAAATTCAATGATTGTTTCAAAAAATATTAATAAACATTACCGTTAACTCTTTTTAATTTCAGATATTTATGACTTCTACATAAATGGACCTGCATGCGATGATCATCCCAATTTAAATCATAGAAGTATAAGTGAAGGGCTTAACTACCTTCATTCAGGATGGGTAGGAGCTATAAAGCATTGCTACAAAACTGTTAATAAGGACATTATTACACTGGCTGGTCAAATTCGCTTTTCCCAAAGGATAAACAACTTTCACAATGTTGAAGTAACAGTGAATAAAGCAAATAGGCAAATAGTTACTGTGAAATGTAATTGTACTGCTTCTGAGGGGAAATCCTGCAGCCATTCAGCTGGCCTTCTCTTCAAAATTGTGGAAGCTAACAAGTGTGGATTCACAGCCAGTTCATGTACGGATTAAGCGTGCATCTGGAATCATTCAACACAGGAAAATGTACTTCCAGACAGCATAAGTAATATCCGAGGGAAGAATGAATCCACCGTCAATACAAGTCTTGCATTTGATACTGATGAGCAACTTATGGACCATTTGAATAGTTCAACACTGAAGGAACTATCTGCAATACCCGGAACTATTTTAAATCACCTTAAATCAGCTAAGCCATTATCCCATCCCCACAACAAGCGCACACTACCAGACCATGAACTGCACAACACCAACATGGAGTGCCCTGCATGTCTCATGACTTATGAGAAATACGTGCACCTTTCAACTACTGACGCTGTATTGCTTGCACAGTCTACAGTTAACGAAAAGTGTGCTCTGTGGACAACACAGAGAAAACTTCGAATAACAAGCAGCACAGCAGCTAGTGTTCCCAAGAAAGTTGGCACAGACCCTGCCAAGTGGATTGCAAATCATTTGCATCCAACATTCTTAGGAAATTCTGCAACTCGTTATGGGCAAGAACATGAAGCGGTTGCACGTGAGCAGTTTGAGAGGGACACTGGTAAACATGTGGAAACCACTGGTCTGGTTGTCAATCCAGAAGAAAGCTGGCTAGGAGCCAGTTTAGACGGAATTGTAGATGAAAATACCATTCTTGAAATTAAGTGCCCCACACAACAGAAACTGTCTAAATATGGTTCTGTCCGTGGCTTGATAAATAGTGGACAGTATGACGTGAGAGTTCAGCATGATGGATGTTTCTATTTACGAGAGACAACAGCAGCAAGTGGCTATTACACACAAGTACAGATTGCAATGTTTTGTTCACACAGGAAAATGTGCAAGTTCATGGTGTGGTCCCAGACTGATTATGTCATTGTAAATGTGATGTATAATGAAGAATGGGTAAATAACAGAATTTCACAGCTTAGAGAATTCTATTTCATACATCTACTGCCAGCCCTTACAGATAACATTGCTAGAGGGGATCTACATATAGTTGACTTACAAAGCTAAAATGGAATGGATATCTGCAAACAAACAAAAGCCAAGATTTAAATGATTTATGGTTTTAAGTACAAGTACATGTACATGTAAGCCTTACAAGTTAGGAAAGCATCCACATGCAGAAGTACTTAGCAAAATACAAAAATGTATGTTATCTTCAAGTAAACTTGTATCCTCCACCCTTATTGGTCAATCCTTGGCAACAACATATCACACTGCTGCATCAGTGTGATACACAATGTATATCCTTTCACACGTTCCCTATTCCAAGCTGCATGCGCAATAACCGCTAAAAGGTTCTTGTTAAGCGTGCTAGTTCCAACACACATGCCCACTTTATACTGTGCATCAAGTTTACTTGAAGATAAATTTGTTACCCCGCTCTTGCTCGTAGAACACGGAAAAATGTAGTGTGTCTGTGTCCATAGACGCACTACATTATTCTGTGTTAAACACGCACTCGCGGGATAACTTAAAAAAAGTATGAAATATGTATTTAGCAAAGTATTTAAAATTTCAAACATGTGATGTAAGTTTATGGGCGAGGTTTTGAACAGCGTATACATGTACCACCAGAAAAAAAAATTGTGCAAAATTTAAAACTTGGTTTCATGGAGGTGTGAACTTAGTATTGACTACTTTGTAGCTAAGCAGAATAAAACTCAGTCCTCATCTTCAAACAACCATTCATCCTCAAAATCATCGTCTGACTCTGTGATCATTTCCTCAGTTTCAGGCTCTCCTTGAATTAGTAGCGGTTGTAGATTACACAAACCTGCACATACAGTGACAATGTTGTCCACATTCATGACACGTCCTGGGATAACTGTGCTTAATATCTTGTAACACTTCAGGCGTCTGATGGCTCTTTCCACATGTATACGAACATTTGCAAGTCTCCTTGTGCGTGTAACCTCCTCTTCTGGAAGTATATGGTCCTTGTTGCCAGTGGTGAAAGCTGGGATGGATAATTTCACCCCCGGTGGCAGAATGTCATCAATGGTAAACCCCTTGTCAGCAAGAACTTCATCACCAGGTTGTAGATGCTGTAAAATTCCTGAACTTTGAGTGATAAATTTGTCACTTGCACGCCCACCAAATAGTTTTGATAAGTACATGACAAAGCCATTGGGAGCAATACAATAAAGAAGCTTGAATGTATTGTGATGCTTATAATTTGAATAGGTCTGAGCACGTTGTTTCAGGTTCCGTGGTCTTTGTACAAACATTTCGGTACAATCTATTATACAAGTGGCCCTAGGATAGTGTTCCAAAAAGCATCTTGGTCTGATCCTTTGCAGTGTGTCCCTCGAAGGCCAAAATATCAAGTGTTCACGCATAAATCTTGCCAAGATGGGAATCCATTCTCTGAAAATCTGGCATGCTGTAGATTGGGAAACCTTAAAACGTGTTCCCAAGTCAAAGAAGAACAAACCAAGTCGGAGTCGCATCAACACAAGCAGAAGTTGATTGCAGAGCTTCATCTTGAAAGTTGGCAGATTTGGCAAAATTGACAGGCATTTAACCAATGCCCAAAATACATGGACACTCAAGCCAGTGTAGAATTTGCTTGTATCATCACCCATATCAGATGCGGACAGTTCGGGAGAGGTATCCGTCTGACGTGTCTGAGTTGCTTTCACTTGGCTTTTCATGGGGCAACTGGGATTTGTAGCATATGTGTGATCTGCAGTGCTAAAATCATACCACTGCACTGAGGCGTCTTTACATGTAGTTGCTAAAGAAGCAGGCAGTATGGTTTCTCCACACACAGGGGAAGCATGTGGCATCTCGTGAACGGCATGCTCAGACACAGACACAGATTCTTGCTCTTGAAGCTTCAAATCTCGTCTCAATCTTGGGGCATGTCTGCCAGAAGATAGTTGTTTCTGTAATGACAAAAATGTATACATGTACATTCATCTATCCCCACACCATGTGTTCATCTTGCCCTTAAGCTTGCGTCCCATTATAAAGCTATGTAAATTTCAAACTATAGCATAACCACCCCTGGCTGAAAGGTAAGGTCGGAAAATCCCTCATATGACATGTAATAATTTCACATGGCTTATTCCAGCCACTGTTCAGAGAATATACTTTGTTGCTTAAAAATATTTAGACACCTGACCCTACTACAGCAACCTACAGATTGTCAAATTATTTACCTATCAATGGATTAAACATACACGTATTTAGTAGTTATGTGCCATGATTTTAGAACTTACGTGAGGTTTATATCCCATGTGCAGTGATGGGTAGGGGTTATTCTTTGATGGTTTCTCATCCTGAAAGTGGATTGAACAAATCTGCAAAATGAAAAAAAAAATGAATAAATATAAAACTAAACCTAAACAAATTTATTTATTTGGTCAGATATATTGGCTTTGGAGTTTGGGCAGCACTGCAGGTTACTATCCCTCCGTTCATCACCAAACACTTCAAAAAAGGGAGAGTGCTGTTTTTTTTTATTTCGCAGGCTATTAAACAATTTATTGGATTTTCGTTTTTGTTTTTTGTAATTTCGCCAAAAAAGTAAACCACACTTCTTACAATAGCCTGCGTGAAAAGTAGATATCCAGGCATTTTTGGATCAATTTCCCTTGTAATATGAAATAATGTACACCACAACATGTGTAAGCACACAACTGGAAATCAACTTACAAGACATTATGCAGATTGTCAGACTGAAAAAAAAACCCGATACTTTTTCCACAGGTGATAGGGGCTAAAGATACACATACACGTACACGTAGTTTGGAAAAATTCCATACACAGACATTGTTAATTGTTTTCTGCAGTGGCATACACTGTAGTAAAGTTGGTCTCATTTAGTTTTGCACGTTTCTGAGCACTCCAGAGCACTGTCTGGCTAGTCTTCAAGTTTTATTAATTAGGCCTAATAATATTCAACATGTTCAATAAAGTTAAACTACACTTGTCAGTTTATCAGGTAATTTAAAAAGGTGTGCATACTCACCCTGCTATTTTTAGTTGGCTCAAAGTCCTTTCTATTAAGGTTTTTAATCCAATTATTACGGCTGCTGAAGGACCACACCTCACAGTCACTGCCGGCGGGAAATCTGTGTAGCTGCCATGGTTGCACACATACATTCACGATGAGACTTTGGCGAGTGCAGATCGCACACCGACGTTTTCCACTCAGACAGCTTTTTGCTGCTATTTTTGCAGCCCACCACCGCACAAACTTTTCCTGAATTTTCCGAACTCATTTCCTCTTTGCCTTTAATTTGGTTTACTTGAAATCTGGAAATGAGCTTAATTATAAACGGAAATATCTCAAAAATTGACTTTCGCCAATGTATCTGTGCACAAAATTTGACAAAAATGCGTCCCAGCAATGGCGGATTTGAAGAGCGCCACCTTGTGACAGAAATACAGCGGCGCCGAAAACGCGCGTAATGGATTTGTCTATAGAATGTTCAGTGTGCGCATCGTAAAACAACCTGCGCGCATATTTGGAGGCAAGCCCGCGCGCGCATGCTTAAAGGTAAGCCCGCGCGCACTCAACCTGTCACTTACAGGTGATATAAGGGGTGGATCATAGGCTATAAGGCACACCCTACTGAGGGGTTCGGGAAAATCCCCCCCCCCGGAAAATTATTTTGAAATCTACAATACCTTCTCTTGCATTCTAAGGCAGTTAGAGAACAAATTTAGGAAATTTAGCATATTCCATTCATTATTTTTGGCTTTTATGTTTTTCTTTGAGCGCCCGGTGAGGACCCATAGCAGATACAGGATAGAAGTTATCATCTGGTCGCTGGCAAAACAAAATTCTGGCAATTATTTTTCTTTCAAAACCCGTATTAATTGATATTCATGCATGGGAATTCCCTCGGGTGTTGTCAGCCGTTCGTTTTGACGTGCAGGTTTGACCAAAAAAAACACCGAGTTATTTTTTTCTCACGTGCAAAAATTGATTGCGAACTTGCCAAACATGCTCAGTTTAATATAAAACTGGTGCAAATTTACAATGGGGAAAGTACACCCCAGAGTTAATGAACCCATCAACTTGTGAACACCTGTTTACGACACAGTAGCTCTAAAAAGTGAAACATTTCACTTACAGGTCAACATGGCTCATTTACACCATTTTGTACACGGACCAAAAGTGTTGAACACTAGTAGATTTTGGTTCAGCAGATATTTTTGAAATAACACAGACAAAGCACTTGCAACACGATCCGTTAGAATATTCAGGGGCGGATCTAGCTCTCGGGAAACGGGGGGGGGGTGATATAAGGGGTGGATCATAGGCTATAAGGCACACCCTACTGAGGGGTTCGGGAAAATCCCCGCCCCGAAAAATTATTTTGAAATCTACGATACCTTCTCTTGCATTCTAAGGCAGTTAGAGAACAAATTTAGGAAATTTAGCATATTCCATTCATTATTTTTGGCTTTTATGTTTTTCTTTGAGCGCCCGGTGAGGACCCATAGCAGATACAGGATAGAAGTTATCATCTGGTCGCTGGCAAAACAAAATTCTGGCAATTATTTTTCTTTCAAAACCCGTATTAATTGATATTCATGCATGGGAATTCCCTCGGGTGTTGTCAGCCGTTCGTTTTTGACGTGCAGGTTTGACCAAAAAAAACACCGAGTTATTTTTTTCTCACGTGCAAAAATTGATTGCGAACTTGCCAAACATGCTCAGTTTAATATCGCAGTGTCCGTAAACTACGGGGCGAGAGATACAACCACACCGGATCAGTCTCCTCCATCTACGCCGGTCGTTTCCCGGTTACCTTATCGTGGGGTCAGTCTGAACGAGCGCCACATTCAACAGGAGTTGTGGATTGCATGTTTTTTCTTTCTCGATTCCCCCACGTCGACAAAACAAAAAAAAGATATACGAGGGGAAAAAATGGCATCCACTTGAGGCTGTTGGATATCTACCGTCTGCGACAGCGGTGTGAAGTTGGTTACTTATTCCTCGTTCCTTGTTCGACATTCGCACGCTAAACACTACATGTACAAATCATGCATAGAGTGTATCCAAAGCTGCATATACACATTCGCAAACGGCTCATAGACTGGTTTCCTATCCCGCTAGGCCCAGGAACACTTTGTTTTGCCACACATTTTCGTACAACAGAGACCTCTTTTAAGCATGAAGAACACTTTGGACCGGGAAAAGGCTGGATGTAGGGGGGTGCATGAGGACCTGGGGAACTGGAAAATAATGAGTCTGACCTGGTCCAAGGGGTTTCAGTATTTTTTTCACATTTTTGAATAAAACAAATCTACGGCGATTTTAATGCACATTTTTCCATATGTTTGTGTACAAAATCGGCGCTCCCAAAGAAATGTCCCTTTAAGCATGAAGAACGCCTTGGACCGGGCAAAGCTGGATGTAGGAGGATGCAGAAGGACCTGAGGAACTGGAAAATAGTGAGTCTAACCTGGTCCAAGGGTTTTCAGTATTTTTTTCATATCTTTGAAAAAGACTTAAATCTACGGCGACTATAATGCACGTTTTTCCCTATGTTTGTGTACATAATCGGCGCTCCCAAAGAAATGCCCCTTTAAGCAAGAAGAACGTCTTGGACCGGGCAAGGCTGGATGTAGGAGGATACAGGAGGACCTGAGAAACTGGAAAATAGTGGGTCTGACCTGGTCCAAGGGGTTAAAATATTTTTTTCATATTTTTGAAAAAGACTTAAATCTACGGCGATTTTAATGCACGTTTTTCCATATGTTTGTGTACATAATCGGCGCTCCCAAAGAAATGCCCCTTTAAGCATGAAGAACGCCTTGGACCGGGCAAGGCTGGATGTAGGAGGATGCAGGGGGACCTGGGGAACCTGAAAATAATAAGTCTGACCTGGTCCAAGGGGTTGGATTATTTTTTCCATATTTTTGAAAAAGATTGAAATCTACGGCGATTTTAAGGCACGTAATCGGTGCTCTCAAAGAAATGTCCCTTTAAGCACGAAGAACGTCTAGGACCGGGCAAGGCTGGATGTAGGAGGATGCAGGAGGACCTGAGGAAATGGAAAATAGTGGGTCTGACCTGGTCCAAGGGGTTAAAATATTTGTTTCATATTTTTGAAAAAGACTTTAAATCTACGGCGATTTTCATGCACGTTTTTCCATATGTTTGTGTACATAATCGGCGCTCCCAAAGAAATGTCCCTTTAAGCATGAAGAACGCCTTGGACCGGGCAAAGCTGGATGTAGGAGGATGCAGAAGGACCTGAGGAACTGGAAAATAGTGAGTCTAACCTGGTCCAAGGGTTTTCAGTATTTTTTTCACATTTTTGAATAAAACAAATCTACGGCGATTTTAATGCACATTTTTCCATATGTTTGTGTACATAATCGGCGCTCCTAAAGAAATGTCCCTTTACGTACGAAGAACGTCTTGGACCGGGCAAGACTGGATGTAGGGGGATGCAGGAGGACCTGAGGAACTGGAAAATAATGGGATTGGCCTGGTCCAAGGGCTTTTAGTTTTCGTCAGGACCGGCGCCCTCTTTTTAAGCTTCCTTACATTATGAAAAAGTTTTATTTAGTAAATGCTTCAGACAAGCCTACATCAATGACAAGATAAAATCTGTTTCAGTACTAAAACATGTAAATGTGGATGTCCCAAAACTAATTGCACAGTTCCAAATTATGTGCTGTCAAGACTTGAAGACGGACTCGTCCATTGATTTTATTTAACATAAAGCCTTTTATAGGTTTTCCTGGCCAATTTCGCAGAAATAGCATCCGAATTCTTTTTGATATTGGCCAATTTGAAGCGACATGTCTCGTGGTTCGTATTAGATTTCAGTCGTTCAAATTCATTTTAAAACCTTACATTTTCATGTTGAACACATTCTTAATTGAAGTTATGTCATTCGATTTAAGTGATCATTCAATTTCGAAGTCGGTTTGCCATTTGGTTTAGAGTTATTTGCATGAGATTCTTGTTTTTGTTTTCATTTCCGCGCATTCTATTTAGCACTTTTCTCATTCAAAATGAAAGTCAACGGAGGAATAATTACAGATGCCAGTCTTTTTATTTCTTTCACCTTTTCATTATTTCTGTTTCATATCGTGGTCCACTTTTTTGAATGCCCTGTTTTTGAAATTGCATGATTAAAATGTGAAATCGCATGCTTCTAATGTGAAATTGATTGGTGTTTTTAGGTAATTGAATGTTGATCTCAACGCCCATTCAAATTCGTGCGAAAATGGGTGATTGGTCGCCATTTGGCCGCCAAATCTGCTAACTTGGCCGGGAAAACCTATAATTCTATAATTAAACCTATTTTCAAACTCACATCAAAGAATAAACGTTTTCATGCACTTTCTAGCAACACAAAAGTTAGGCTTTTTTATAATGAGACATCAAGCCAAAAAAAGCGCCATGTTTGCATTAAACATAGTTGATATTGAAATTGTAATGAAATATAAAAATATACTGCATTGTTTGCAGCTTTACAGTATTAATTCAGGCTTACATTATACGCGTGACGGGCGCAAAAAGAAATTTAAATCCAATTAAAATAGACAAATTTAGAATTTGCTTGAATAGAATACAAATTAAATCTTACTTTGTGATGTGACAC